TGAACATTACTGGCTTTTTTTCCTATGAAAAGTCACTCAAAGGAAGCGGTTAAGTCATTCTACTTTTTTTGTTGCTGTGCAAAAAAGAGTTGACATTACCATTGCCATTTCCTTTTCGTTTCTTTATTTTTTTAATAGTTTTTGAATCCTAATGCCCTATAAACGGCATCTTCACATGTCAAATACGAAACTGTACAGTAATTAACCCAACTGGCATCCCCCTAATCTCCAAAAGAACTTCCTTTTTCTTTTTCTTTTTTTTTCCTTTTTTAATTAATTATTTATTTATTCATTGAATGGCATGAATTGAGGAGTTTCACAAAGTTTAATATTAAGGTACCTAAAGATATAGCAAGGGGATAGTTGTTCCTACTTCCTACTATATTTCAGGACCATTCTTTATATCCCGGGATTCAAGTGCACTTAGCCTTTTGCATGGACGGAATGCTCAATAATTAGTACTACCTTTGATGAGGGCTTGTTGTCTTAAATCTTAAATTCGAGTTATATTGTTAATTCATTTAATTTGTTTAATGATTTTTTATACCGAATTAATATATGATTAAAATTTCTATTTACAAATATAATTATGACAATAATGATATTGAAGAAACTATTAAGCATCTTAATAAGTGCATACATTTTTCTCTTTCATCAAAGATATAATATTTAGGACAATAAAGTTTTAAATCTAATTTTTTCGATTGACGTATACATACATAAATATGTATATTTATCACTGGATTAAATAGTGGTAAACATCTTTAAACCAAAGAAAGCAGTACAGAAATTAAAAACCTTATCTACCCTAACAAGCTTTACTCATCAAATGATGGAACGGAATATTATAGACCTGTCATCCCAATTTAAGCCGAACCTGCCGAAACCATGTGTGATGTCTGATATTAATTTGACCGATTGATGCAAAGAAATGTACGAGATATGTTTATTGAGCCCTTATCTATCTACCATATAGATGGTTTGGCACATGCCTTGCCTACAAATTCAAGTAGTCCTTTAGATCTAGAGATAAAGCCCTCTCAACTCTCAAGATTACTCTTGCAAATAGCCTGTTTCGGTTTATTTTATAATATTCATTGCTTTATGATCAAGTAATAGGTAGCAATTAGAAATCCGTTTAAGAAAAAGAAAGAGAACTAGAATCTAATGTTTTATTCAAAGCTCATTGTTATTTGTGCTAATTAAGTAGCAAAAATTGAAATTACCATGGAAATTAATGAGATCCTATTAATTCTAAATATATAGGTTCGAACGGATATTTATAGACACCGGTAAAGATAATGAAAATATTATTTTTTATAAAAGTTTTTGCCTTTAATATGATTGCTTTTAATAAATTGAAGAGAAAACAATGCATTAGTTATAATTTTTATAATGTCACCTTAACCAATATCGTTAAGCCTCCATTTAAAATCTCTCCTTCTAAGTGAAGGATCAAAGATAAAATGATGGTATTACAAATATTTTATATATAGGCTATTGGCAATTAATTAAAAATAATATATAGTTTTATTTTTTAATTCCTTCACTTTTCCATCTGTACCTGTCCTCTTAAGCAACTAGAGTAATAAGAAAACACCCACAGGCAAATCTCTGCCTTTAACATGCAATGGTTCACTGCCACTCCAGCTAGGGTTTAACCCTCCCCTGCTAGCTAGTTATGTTTTCACAACACATGTTTACATTCATGGCCTTACTATTTAATTAGCTAGTCTCGCCGACTAACATTAATTTTCTTGTATTAATATAAATTATATGTTGATGCAAACCATCCAATCTTTGCCAAAATTTTTTTTCATTTAACGGTAAGGGATTTTTGAGTTTTATTCAATATATATATATATATATATATTGAACTGATTCAAACAAATTTATTTACCCTAAACCTAGAATCTTTGCCAATTTTAGCTAGTTAGTTGATTTAATTTTCCAGAAGTCGTGAGACCACAAGCAAAAGTCTAGCACTAGGACTTGAACTTGCTCAAGTCTCGGTCATGAGTTAGATTTGTTGCCTCTCCTTTCATCATTTCTCTTCCTACTTTTTTGAAAAGTTCATTATTTCTCTTCTTAATTGATAAGTAACTGAAAAAAAATACATAGATTATTCAAGCACCATTATGATTTAGTTGCTCTTAAGCAAATTTATTTTACTCTTTAAAAAAACTAGAGAGTGGACCACTAAAAAAGTGAAGTAAAAAAAATCCATTTAATAATCATAGGAAATGATAACAATATTTATACATATATATTAAAATATATACACAGTTTTCTCCCATTGAGGAAGGCATTGACAACCCACTGCTGCAAAATTTGAGGTCAAAAAGAAAAACCCAGTTATTATTTTAATATCATAAAATTTTTTGGCTTAAGAACACAACAAAGAACTTAGCTTAATTTAAACAAAACATATGTGCTAGGGAATATAATAATATTATTCTATAAATACGAAAGTTTGTCTTGTTCCAATATTGGGTACTTGAAAATCTTGAATATATTCTTTCTTTTTTTCAAATGCATGAGGGAATGGTTTCAAGTGAGTGGGGAGGGGAATGGTGCCCAGCCTTTTTGAGGGGGATGCCAAAAGTTATGTAACTTTTTGAGTTCCGGCTCAAATTTGTAGGGTATTTTAAGAAAGAGTGTGTGTGTGGAAAGAGGGGAGATCATGCCTTTAATTTTTTTGCCAGTTTGCCACACTCCTGTAGGTTGTGACCGCGAGGGAGAGGGAAGAGCCATCATTGCTAAAGAGCAAAGGCTAGCTATGCTAATCACTGGGCATGGGCCACCATGATGCTAAAAGAAGTGTCACAGTTCACAACACACCCCATCTCTTCTCTCTAAAGGCCTGCCCCCTTATATCTCCCAAATTCCCATGGCTAATCATTTGAATTTCTTTCTTATGATGAGAAAAAAAATAGAGAGAAAAAGAAATAAAAGAAGATTTTAATGTGTTACAAAGGGTTCCCTTTATAAAAGTTTCCCCAAAATCCTATGCTTGACATCCGTTGTATATGTTTCTACTTACTATTTGTGCAAGAAAAGAGATTCAAAAATTTTTGAAACCCCAAATCATCCCCATCCCCTCATATCATTCAAAATTTAAACCGAAGGGTGAAAGTTTGTATTCTTGAAGTGAAACAGATCATTATCTATCAATCAATGACATGAAAAAGAATACCAACTTTTCAGATATATCACCGTTTCATGCAAAAGATTACTGCCCACACCTTGTGACATTGATAAAAAGTTTTTTAAAGAGTTGCTTTTTCCTTCAAAAATATGTTTACAAAATTTGAAAGTTGAGATGAAACTTTTTGTGTCATGCCTGGTGTCAATGTAACCTTGGCGGGAAACCATGTCTTTTAGTATATCATGCTAGCGTTTGACAAAAAAAGCTTATCTAGGGTTCCTTTCATATTTCGGTTTTCTCGTCTTATTTGCATGCAAGAACAATTAACAATGTTATAATTTATTAATAAAGTGTTAAATTTTTAATTTTAATAATTAAATTTAAATCTTGACAACTTAAGTATAAAAAAAATTGCATGCAAGAACACTATCACCTTTTTTTTTTTTTTATCTGTTCCAAGCAACTAAGTAATGACCTAATATCAAGGTAGCTTGTAACTCTAATGAAAATGCCATAAAAAAGGTGAAAAACAGTTAAAATGTAGCACTAGGCTAGCTAGATCATAGCTATCTACCTTTAAGATAATTTTGGCCTACAGTCCCTGAATTTGATAGGATTCTTGATACTGCTTTTCTGATAAAGCACAGTCCACTGAGTTGCGCATGATTCATGAGATCAGTCAAGCCTGATTTTGCACGATGAGATTAGCATGTCCAACGTGCTCCTTGGTGTCCTAGCTAGCTAATATGGTATTTAAAAAGAACCAACTAATTCCTTCATTTTCTTATCAATATATATGCATATATACACACACGTCAATGGCCAAAGCTTGAAACCAAACTCTGA